CTGCACTCCAGCCTGGGAGACGGAGAGAGACTCCATCTCAAAAAAAAAAAATCAGAGCAAATGCCCCTCGGAGCCCACTGAGGTATACCATGGATAATGCCATCCCTCCAGGATTCATCCAAGCCCTGGCATCACCCTGATGCCTCTCTCTTGCCCCATATTCGGTCCACCAGCCAAGCCCACTGGCTGCACACTGGGTCCTGTTCTGCCCCTTTTCACCCCTTCCACGGCCACCACTGTAGTCTAGCCCCATCACTGCAGGTTCTGCCACTGGGATGCATCCTTCCTGGTCTCCAGCCTCTGACCTTGTCGCCTTGTCCCTTCTCCCCCAGCAGCCAGAGGCGGCTTCCTAAACCCTGCATCAGACCTCATCTCTCTCTCCTGCACAGCAGCCTCCAGAGACCTCACTCAGCTTAAAATGCAAACTGCCCAGATCCTGCCCACTGCCTGTTTCCGCAGAGAATGGTATTTACACGTGTGAGTCGTTGGGGGGGCGGGGGAAAGCAAAATAAGAATCATCCTTCCTGACACGTGAAAAATGATATGAAATTCACATTTCTGGCTAGGCGCAGTGGCTCATGCCTACAATCCCAGCACTTTGGGAGGGCAAGGTGGGCTGATGGCCTGAGGTCAGGAGTTTGAGACCAGCCTGGTCAACATGGTGAAACCCCGTCTCTACTAACAATACAAAAATTAGCCAGGCATGGTGATGCACGCCTGTAATCCCAGCTACTCGTGAGGCTGAGGCAGGAGAATCGTTTGAACGTGGGAGGCTGAGGTTGCGGTAACCCGAGAGCACTCTAGCCTGGGCGACAGAGCCAGACTCCACCTCAAAACAAAACAAAACAAGAAAACTCACATTTCAGTGTCCATAAATAAAGTTGTATTGGGGCCAAGCCCTGCCCATTCATTTATAGATGGCTGGATGCCACACGCAGGGTATGAAAAAAAAAGTGCAGATAATCAAAGGCTATTCTCAGGCTGCAATGGCAGAGCTGAGGCTGATCTACACCACGAACCAAAAATAGTTACCCTCTGGCCTTTTAAGAAAAAATTTGCCAACCCTTCTCTGAGCAGCCCCCCTTTGCCAGTCCCTGACCTCATGGAATTTCCCC